CTCCGTCTACATCTCAGCTCAAAGAGTGGGGGACTCCTGATGGAGTACATGGGCCTTGACCCTAGGACCCACATACTCAGAAGAATAAGAGGCACAGCTGTAACCCAGTGGGGCCTCCGTCGCCCAGATGGCCCTCCATCAGCCAGAAAGATATCGGCCATGGCTCCGTCGGCCATGGCTCCGTCGGCCAGGAACTCATAGAACCGGATTCCATACTTAGCCATTTCTACATTCTTTGTACTTGGCCCAGTAGTGGCCCAATTGTAAATGGGCCTCCCAAGCCCAGGACTTGGGAGCCCAGTCCTAATTTCCTCTATAAATACTCCCCTTGGGAGTAGTTATAGGGGGTTCACAAATCATTAATAGCAAGCATTTATAGCACTTCTCTCTCTAGCTCTCACTTCTCTTTAGGAGTTAATACTCCATCTCTTATATTCCATATTTATATTTTAGCATTACTAAATGATCAACTAGTTAATGTTTTCATATTAATTATCACTAGAATCGATCAACGGGTACGTTTGTTATTGGTTTGGCCTTTTTAACGCTAGTAGCCTTAGATTACTAATGCTTGCGTCTTATGGTTATTAATCTAAGGGGCATATTGACTAAATCAATAAACAGCTTGTGTTGAGGTTATCATCTCAATTGATTCATTTGAAGTTTATTGCTACTATCGGGTCGGTTTATGGCGCTTGCTCTATATTGACTGCGTGATAAGTGTTGCTAAGGAGCGCATCTCGTTATTAATAATTGCCTCGATGAATTGGAAATACTCTACAACTGAGTATTCGAGAGGGGATAATTAAAGATATAATCGGGATCGATGAACATTTCACTAAGTGGAAATTAGCAAAATCATGTTTCCATCTCTATTGAATTAAATCACATAAGTGGTTCATCTTAGTGTTTAAATATTCTCAAGTTAATCAATCATTAAGCAACCCCATTTAGTTACAATTTCATAAAGAAGAAATATACGTTTCCCTATAAATACAAACCTTAGTACGCTATACTACGGTATTAGCACTAGTAATGATTTTATTTTGAGGCACACAACGAGTTTAGCACCGTCACGACTATACAACTTGAGATCAATGCTTTGAAGTGGAATGGCACATCTACGATTCTTTAATTTCTTTTCCACCAAACAAAATTCCTATACAATGCAAATGGATATTTAAGATTAAATATCATAGTGATGGTTCCATTGAATGTCTTAAGACTCGCCTTGCTATTCGTGGCAATCAGCAAGTTGAAGACATTAATTATCATGAAACGTTTGTTCCTGTTGTGAAAGTGGCTGCAGTCCGGACTATCTTGGTTGTTGGTGCTTCTCGTAATTGGGAGTTTCACTATATGTATGTATATAATGCTTTTCTCCAAGGTAATCTTTCGGTGGAAGTTTATATGCATCTCCCACTAGTATTTCTTCATCTCACGTCGGACAAGTTTTAAAATATTTGTTTCCCGCATGCTCTCATTAATTTCCAAAGGATGGTTTCATTTTATTTTAATCATCAATGTTGATGTAGAAAGTTGCATAGTGTAGATAGATTAGACACATGATCAGAGGAACTAGAGAAAAAATGGTTAAAAATGTCTCATATAGAATACAATAGCACATATGCAGTGCTTAATTGAAATTTATAAGCACACACAAGGAGTGGCATATCTACATGAGGTGATTTCCACCTCTCAACCCCAATCCAGCCTCATTATATATAAAGTGTATATTTGTATAGACATATTATTGTCCGTAATATACTATACAAACGTTAAAAAGTTTAAAGTAATGAACTGTGGCAAGTAACTTGTTGGATGGAGTTTTCACTTTCAAAGAGGTAGTGAAGGACTGAAGGTTCACTATGCCACTTTTCTAAATACTCTTTGTAAACGGCAGCAGCAACAACAACACGAAGAAGAAGATGGCACTCCCTCCATTTCACTCTCTGTGGAGTCATGTTATCATCTAACTCAAGAAGTACCATATTATTCATGGCTTCATCTCATTTCGTCTAGCAGGTGCATCACTTGATGATAGTGAGGATTTTCATATATTAAGAATTAGAGAATTTACGTAGCACATTAACATGCTCACTATATACTTTGATTAGTTTGATATGCAATAGGGAATAGAGAGGCGCAACTTTTGTTTAGAAGACTAACGCCCTGCTATTGGCATCCATCGGACTATTACCCCTAGGCCTAATGTTAGGGGTGTATCACTTACTTCAACAAGAAAAGCATACGTTGGAAAGATATCAACTGCATATCCTTTCTTCCAACAAGAGCAAAGTTCCTCCAGTTCTTCAACACTTCGAAAGCCTCAACTACACATCATTTGTGAAGAAGCTACATTGGAGAAAACTGATTTTCAATCACATACTGCTTGAAAAAGAAGGGACGTCTCAAACTAGCTGGAGTAAGTGAAGTGGGGATACATCCAAGAGACTCAGTGAAACGAGACGAGCTATCAGGAAGCAAGGACTGCATCCCGGGTGGCAACTAGACTTGAAGAAGACGAGGAGTGCTTCTTAACGCTAGGAACTAAGGCGTTGTAAACTGTTGTTTTTGCAAGCTTAGTGGAATAGTGGACTAGAGGAACACGTTGTTCCTTGAACCACTATAAAAACCCCAGTGTCATTTACTTTACGCATTTAATTTCTGCAATTAAGGTATTGACTGTTTAACTCAATAAGGTTGGACTCTGTGCACAGCAGATCTCCCTTAAGAGTTATCAGAAAGGCATTTGCCTTGGTGTTTACCTGAGGCTACCCGGACAGAACTCAATCCGCTGTCAGGTCTTGTTCTGCCATCAGAACTCGACCTTCTCTATCTCCAGAACCAGACCTTCTTTGATAAGTCAGAGTTGACTCAGAGAATAGTTTGAAAATCCTGAACAGTCTATTCACCCCCCCCCCCCCCCCCCTAGACTGTTCCCATTGTAAACGGGACCAACACTTTTTTCCATATCATTTGTGCTTTTTTTTATTTAAAAATGTTAAAATCTAAATACATTCTTTTAAGTTATTTGCTAGTGATCATGTAAAAAAATTACATAATTACTCAAATGTGGTTTGTTTTTTTAGTTAATTAGAAAATCTATATAATATACTTTAATTTTTTAAATTATAAAAAAAAAATAGGCCATAATAAAAAAAATCAGAAAGGGATATTGCCCTATAGAAACTCATTTCATATAGTTCTTTAATTATAGAAATATAGTGAAAAAAATACAGTATAACTAAAAGAAATATAGAAATTAGTTCAAATAGGATTAAAACTATGGCAAAAACCTAAAATAGGACTTGCTATGTTTTTATTCCAAAATAGGACCATACGAGTCCTATTGGAAACATACCTATTTTTGCATTCCATTCTTACCCTTCCATTTAATATGAATTAAAATAGTCAAAAGCCATAATTAAATGTTTAATTCATAATAAATTCGAAAAAAATTCAAAAATTCGTAGAAGTATAATTAAAAAATTTATAAAATTTTTATAAAATAAAAAATTCAAAAACTTTTTTTTTTAAAATAATTTTATTTTTAAAAACAATTAATAAAAAATAGTAAAACTCCGTAAAAAAAAATTAAAAAAATATGGATGCCTTTCCCACCGCCTGTACTACCTCCCAGCACCACCACCTCCGACCGATGAAAAAATGCAATTTTCCCAAAAAAATGCCATTTTTTTCTGAAAATGGCAAAAAAGTGGCATATTTCTCTTTTTGAATGCCAACATTTTCATTTTTTTCTGCCATAAATATGGCATTCGTAATGAACTTGGCATTTTTTTCCCCTGGTGACTGGAGGTGGTGGTGCTGAGGCGGCAGAGGTGGCGGTGATTTTTTTTTTGAGTTTTTATTTTTTTTTATTTTTTTTTTAATTTTTTTAATTTAAAAAAAAAATAATTAAATTTTTAATATCGAAATGTTTTTCTTAATTTTTTAGTATTTTTTACGAATTTTTTTATTTTTTATTATTTTATTAGGAATTAAAACATTTTAATAGCTATAAGGGTATAATTGTCCAAGGTACACATAATTAGTCGTATGCAAACATAGTTTATTTTTTGGTCCTATTTGTGAAAAGTGAATGACTTTTAGTCCTATTTTGATAATTAACTCAAAGAAATATAATGGTTAAAGATATCTTTGTGCAGATATTGTATATTCATAGTGCTATATAATTGGTGCTCTTCTATTAAATAACATACTGTGACAATAACGACAAATATTATGTTAGAGGTGCAATTAAATATTTAAATTTATTCTAATGTTTTTACTTCAATAATATTGTAAACTAATTTCCATATCAGATCAATCCCGTAAAGTCCTACCATCACTTTCGACCGAGCACGTACCTATCAATATCAAGCTTTAATCTTTACAAAACAAGTTGGATGACTGAATCAATTAAAATTAATCATATATACCATGACATCCTATACGTCAAATATATAAAAAAGATCAGCTTGATCGTCATTTATTGAGAAAATTGATAGATAAATATATGTGTCATTATAACAGCAAGACATCTTTGAAATGTCTCTCTGAAGTTATTCACACCAAACCTCTATGATGGATGAACGTCAATTGCCGGAATGATGTTCGTTGTGGCGGCAGCAGTGGATAAAGAATCAATTAAGTGCCCACACTTTGTCCACTCATCTGGGGTTACACGCAATTCTTTATAAGAATTTTGCTACAATCGACATAATTCCTCACAATCTTTCCTCACAATCGACATAATTCCCTAACTAGGACTAAAAGTTATTAAAAGTGCAATAATAGGACTTCTATGTTTCCGTTACATGTGTAGGACTTAAAAGAGATAACTCGACAACAATACCCTTAATAAAAAAATTAATATACTTATTAGTAATACAACATAAAATAATAAACGAAAATATAATAAGCTCATCACAGTCCTCTGGCACAACACCGCTACCATCTTCGGTGCCACCTCTGCCGCCGCCAACACCACTGGAGCCTCCACCGCCGCTGCCACCACCACCAGAACCGTCGGCGTTAGTGCCGCTGCCACCACAGGCGCCACAACCCTCCCAATCTCTGACCTCATCCACCCTAGCCGCCACCAACAACCGCCGGCCGCCGCCATCTTCGGCGTTGTCACTGCCACATCCGACGATATGGCCGCCTCATCCAACGCCAGTGTGCCTCATCTGCTTGAACTCCGACGCCTCCACTAGGCCAACCACGGTAGATTTCAGATCTGAACTAAGATCTGGTAGGATGATCGGGCTAAACTTGCAAGTGTACAAGTGCCGATATAGTAATAAATTCCGGTAAAATACCGGGTCGAATCCACAAGGAAACGTTGTTTAATTCAAGTCCGAGAGTAGATAACGTTAAATGAAGAATTGAATAAAGTGCAGGGATTTTGATTTGTGTTTTATATTTTTGGTTTTTTCACTTTTTGTTCAACAAGATAATCGTTAACTAACTTTGAGTTCAAGATAAATGATAACAACAACTAAGGCTTCGGGAATCACTTAAATGCTTAAATAGGGTTGAATATTAGTTCTTTGCCAATAATTATGAATACGATGTCGCTAATATATTCTCAACTCCGGTTAAGGCAGTGAGAGCGTGGTTTTCGTTACGTGTAAGTCCCGTTACGGCTTACATTCATCTACCGAAAACCCCGTTGAATATCAAGACATCACACCCGTATCATATAAGACCGGATATATTTCTATTCTCGGTACTATATATGTTTATCCTTTAGTGTTCATAGTTTAGACTTCAACGTTAATTGCAAGTATAAACTAAATTTAACATACTTCTATGTTGTACACCATAGTCATAAACAATCAATATATAAAGGATAAATCACAATTTATTGGTTTAGAACTTTTATCAAACACCTAGTGGGCATAGAAGTTCATCCCTAGCCTTAGCTAAGAAATTAGCCTCTAATGCTCATATTAATCACAATACAATAATAAATGTAATGGAACATGAAATTACAAAGGAAATAATACCTAAACACCAATGATTTCGGAAGATGAACTTCCCTCCTCAAGAACTTGAAGAAAATACCAAGAACAAAAATATAAAAGCTAAGAATTAATCTATAGAATGGAATGTGTTTGTATGATGAATTGAGGGCTTTATATAGGCTAAAGAATGACATCTTTTAGTCTATTCGAACCCAACAATGAGGTATGGAAGCAATATTTGATTAGCATTGAGGAAGATGTGGTTTTCCCATCAAGAATCAGCTTGCACGATGCTGTTTTTTAGCTGAAAATCGACCCAACCGGCGCCGGTTGGTCAGATGACCGGCCCCGGTTGAAAACAGGATCATTTGTGCGAGAAAAAACGTTCCTACCAGCGCCGGTTCAAGACCGACCGGCGCCGGTTGCTGCGCCCAAAAATATACTACATTTCTCTTCCTCCGAAATGGATCAAAAAGTGTCGGTTTTTGTACCGGGATTTTGGAGATGTTCCGCTACGAATTTGGACATGATTCCTTCACCAAAGTTGTAGATAATGAAGTCGTCTATCCAAAAAAACTTGAATGACGTGATTTTATTCATCCAATCAACAGATATGGATAAACCACTGAGAGGTATGCATCCTGAAATCCCACCAGCAACATCTGACTTTATCGGTTGATTGAGTATTGTTCCTTTCCTATTCTGGCCATGATGTCTTCATAACATTTGTACCTTATTGAGTTACCATTCACATGAAATTCGAATGGAGTGATTTCGAGTTCTCTACAATACGTTATACTCAAATGATGGGCAAAACGTCATCCTTTTGGTCCCAAAAGCCGTTCATCACAATGTTTAATGCTCTAACTCTCATTCTCAAGATATTTTCCCAATTTTTCTTCTTTTCTTCAACAAATACTTATAAATACTTATGTTAAACACAAGTAAATATAACGGCTATCAAATCCCCCCACACTTGAGCATTGCTTGTCCTCAAGCAATTTCTTTGTATTGATGCACAATTAGAAAAGAAACTAAACCATGCAAATTAAAAGTTTAATAAGATGTTAAAAATTAGATATAAACTATTTAATCTTTCTAGAGCCAAAAACCTTTTTCTATTACTCACAATGAATGTATTTAAGATTAAGAAAAATATTTAAACACTTGATGGGTTTATTTTGTGACAATTTAGGCAATGTGTGGGTATGTCGGTGTTTTTTTTTTGTGGACTGACAACTTGATTTTGTAGAGAAGGCTATTCTAGGAGAACATGAGTTTTTTTTTTTTTGCTTTTGTATATAAACTCTTTTTTTTGTTCTCCGTAATTATATATCTAGATTGTCAGAAATGAGGAGAATCCGACAATAGAGTGATTTGGAATTGGGATGAAACTTTTATTTTGAATTTGCACTCTATGCACATTTGTATGGATTTGGAAAATTGTCACAAATTTGAGTGGAAGTGGTGGTTTCAAGATCAATAAATATTTTAATTAATCGAAAAATACATTTTTGTGAGTAAAAGAAAATCTTTCTCAACCAAAACCCTTAAAAGAGAGAATATCAAAAAATTTAACCTTCCTAGAAGAAATTTAATTTGCAAAGAAAAGTTTCTCAACTAATTATTCACCCCCCACACTTGATTTACATTGTCCTCAATGTAGATTGGAGAATGTAATGCAAGATGATATCTTCAATAGTGGAATGAGATGTCTTTGAGAGAAGAAAATGCATGATACTTGAGCTGAGATCTATGATTTTTTTTTTGTTTATTTTTTTTTTTTTTTGATTTTTTTTTTGATTTTTTTTTGTTGGGTTGCCTCCCAATTAGCGCTTAGTTTAACGTCATAGGCCGGACGAATGTACCTCTTTTAAGGTGGTGGATGTGATGCTTTTCTCCGGTAGAATTTGATCATTGTGCCTCCTTTCATCGGGTAGAGTTTCGGGAGAACTTCGTTGTTCGTTGGTGTGATCTCGAGTACGTCTTCGGAGTGTGTTGGAGGATCCTCGGGCCCAAATATTTGTGCCTTCTTGATGTCCATGATGTTTATGGCCTTGGGAGGTGTGAAACGGTTTGTGTTGTCCTTCATGTTTTGAGTTGGAGTGGATTGTGTCTTCCATACATGGAATGTTTCATCATCTCCTCCCACTCTTAGCTTTACCGTCCCCCCGCTTGTACATCAATGACGGCTGCGGAAGTGGCCAAAAATGATCTCCCAAGGATGACGGGGATCTCCATCTCTTCCATGTCCAAAACAAGAAAATCTACCGGGAAATAGAATTTTCCAACTTTGACAAGCACATCCTCCATAACTCCAATAGGGTAGCGGATTGATCTATCCGCTAGTTGTAAAGCTATTGTAGTAGATTGCATTCCCCCCACACCAAGCTTTTTAAATAAAGAATGGGGCATGAGGTTGATACTAGTACCAAGATCACAAAGGGATCTTACCTCTCCAATTTTGCCGATAGAACACGGTACCGTGAAGCTTCCGGGGTCCTTCAATTTATGAGGGAGTTTGTTTTGTAGGATAGCACTACACTCCTCTGTGATGGCAATGGTAGCAAATTCCGCCAATTTTTTCTTATTTGAGAGAATGCCCTTCAAGAATTTGGCATAAGATGGAATTTCCGCTATAGCTTCGGCAAATGGAATGTTGATGCTCAATTTAGTAAAAATATCAAGAAATTTTCTATATTGAGCACCATCATTCTTTTTCTTTAACCTTTGAGGATATGGAATGGGAGGAACATAATTAGCCATGTTCGATGGTGGCATCATATGCTCCTCACTTTCACCTTCTTTTTGTTTTTCCGGGATCTCCTCCTCTTCCGGCATCTTTGGATCCTCCGTTGTCTTATCACTCCTTGTGGTAATGGCCATTACGTTTTCCCTCGGGTTCATCTCCGTGGTTGTAGGAAATTTACCTTGCTCCCTAGAACTTACTTTTTGGGAAAGTTGTCCCATTTGAACTTCAAGATTCCGAATGGATGCCTTGATGTATTGCTCAATGGTGTCGATGCGTTGATTAAGCTTTATATTTTGATCTTCAAAGCGAAGATCCAACTTGGTGAATTGAGAGTGAAGATTCCCAATGGATGCCTCCACTCTATGGTGATTCTCCTCATTTTGGGCCTTCATGCTTGCCATGCTTTTGGACATGAATTGCATCATATCCTCCATGGTGGTCTCCTTGGTTTGCCCAAAATTAGGTGCTCCGGATTGGGGTTGTGAGGAACTAGCTTGTGGCTTCCACCTTTGTTGATTTGAATAGTTATTGTTCCCCCGATTCCCGTAAGAGTTCATATAATTTACCTCTTTAAGATGTTGGGATAAATCACTTTCCGGGCTTGGTATGTTCTCTACGTTGGCTATTTGCTTGACTCCTCCCAATACGGCTTGTAGAGCCGTTTGGAACTTGTGTTCAATCTTTGATTCCATTTCTTCAAGCCTTTTGTTTATCTCCGTCGTGATGGAGATTTCATTAATCCCGACCACTTTGTAATCTCCTCCTTGGAGTTGAGGATTCGAAGCAATGGATTCAATGATTCGGAGTGCTTCGATTTCATTCTTGTTGCCAATATAGCCCTCGGCTCGGTTGTCCACAATGGCTTGGCAAGATGCATTCAAACCATTGTAGAACGTATCAATTTGAAGGTCTAGGGGAATGCGGTGATGTGGACATTCCCTTAGCAATGATTTGAAACGCCGCCATGCATCTTGAAAGAGCTCACCATTTTGTTGTTTGAAATTGAAAATGCGTTGTCTAAGCTCTTGAGTCATGGTGGGCGTGTAGTATTTAGACATGAAAGCATTGTATATACCTTCCCATGTTGTGTAACTTGCCGGAGCTTGTTCTAGGAACCATCCTCTTGCCGCCCCTTTAAGAGTATAAGGGAAGCATTTGAGCTTGAGATCATCTTCGGCTAGCTTGTTCCTTGGAATCCCTTGGATGAACCCATAGAACTCCGTGATAAAGTTCAATGGATTTTCCCCCGAATGACCATGAAACTGAGGCATAGCGTTGAAGTAGCTATGCTTTAGTTCATAGTCTCTCGCCTCCTCGCTTAGTACAATGCAAGACGGGGAAGTTGCAACAACGGGTCTCTTCCTCTCGTTTAGTGTGGGCATCATCTTTGTGGCTTTTTGCTCCTTCCGAATGTGTTTGCAAATTTTTTAGAACCTTGACTTCTCAAGTGCATGCAAACACAAAGAAATATCTACACACACAAAAATAAACCTTCCAAGATCAAGTGAAGTTGTGAAGAATAAATTCAGGGTTTATTAGTTTTTTTTTAGGACTTTATTAAACAAGACCGTTTCCCCGGCAACGGCGCCAAAAACTTGATCGGGCTAAACTTGCAAGTGTACAAGTGCCGATATAGTAATAAATTCCGGTAAAATACCGGGTCGAATCCACAAGGAAACGTTGTTTAATTCAAGTCCGAGAGTAGATAACGTTAAATGAAGAATTGAATAAAGTGCAGGGATTTTGATTTGTGTTTTATATTTTTGGTTTTTTCACTTTTTGTTCAACAAGATAATCGTTAACTAACTTTGAGTTCAAGATAAATGATAACAACAACTAAGGCTTCGGGAATCACTTAAATGCTTAAATAGGGTTGAATATTAGTTCTTTGCCAATAATTATGAATACGATGTCGCTAATATATTCTCAACTCCGGTTAAGGCAGTGAGAGCGTGGTTTTCGTTACGTGTAAGTCCCGTTATGGCTTACATTCATCTACCGAAAACCTCGTTGAATATCAAGACATCACACCCGTATCATATAAGACCGGATATATTTCTATTCTCGGTACTATATATGTTTATCCTTTAGTGTTCATAGTTTAGACTTCAACGTTAATTGCAAGTATAAACTAAATTTAACATACTTCTATGTTGTACACCATAGTCATAAACAATCAATATATAAAGGATAAATCACAATTTATTGGTTTAGAACTTTTATCAAACACCTAGTGGGCATAGAAGCTCATCCCTAGCCTTAGCTAAGAAATTAGCCTCTAATGCTCATATTAATCACAATACAATAATAAATGTAATGGAACATGAAATTACAAAGGAAATAATACCTAAACACCAATGATTTCGGAGGATGAACTTCCCTCCTCAAGAACTTGAAGAAAATACCAAGAACAAAAATATAAAAGCTAAGAATTAATCTATGGAATGGAATGTGTTTGTATGATGAATTGAAGGCTTTATATAGGCTAAAGAATGACATCTTTTAGTCTATTCGAACCCAACAATGAGATATGGAAGCAATATTTGATTAGCATTGAGGAAGATGGGGTTTTCCCATCAAGAATCAGCTTGCACGATGCTGTTTTTTAGCTGAAAATCGACCCAACCGGCGCCGGTTGGTCAGATGACCGGGCCCGGTTGAAAATAGGCTCATTTGTGCGAGAAAAAACGTTCCGACCGGCGCCGGTTGCTGCGCCCAAAAATATACTACATTTCTCTTCCTCCGAAATGGATCAAAAAGTGTCGGTTTTTGTACCGGGATTTTGGAGATGTTCCGCTACGAATTTGGACATGATTCCTTCACCAAAGTTGTAGATAATGAAGTCTTCTATCCAACAAAACTTGAATGACGTGATTTTATTCATCCAATCAACAGATATGGATAAAACACTGAGAGGTATGCATCCTGAAATCCCACCAGCAACATCTGACTTTATCGGTTGATTGAGTATTGTTCCTTTCCTATTCTGGCCATGATGTCTTCATAACATTTGTACCTTATTGAGTTACCATTCACATGAAATTCGAATGGAGTGATTTCGAGTTCTCTACAATACGTTATACTCAAATGATGGGCAAAACGTCATCCTTTTGGTCCCAAAAGCCGTTCATCACAATGTTTAATGCTCTAACTCTCATTCTCAAGATATTTTCCCAATTTTTCTTCTTTTCTTCAAAAAATACTTATAAATACTTATGTTAAACACAAGTAAATATAACGGCTATCATAGGACTATCATTTAAATGACATCTCGCAGTTGTAATGTCATCTTAATGACATTATTATCATCTTACAGTTGTAATGTCATCTTAATGACATTATTGTCATCCTGACAGAAATTAGATGGCATTTTCGAATTAAAACATGTCATTAATGTTTTTCAAAATGAGTAATATTGCCATCTTCACAATGTTAATGTCAAAAAATGGCATTCTTTCTTGAAGTGACTTTTATCAGATTCAAAGTAAACATATATTGCAAAGATAATCCCATAAAAAATACATAGTTTTAAATTTAATTTTCCAATAGATTATATTTAATAGGGAAAATAATTTGGAGAAACACTTGTACAATTTTAAAAATTTAAGAAAAAATAAAACAATATATATCAAAGTAAATAAAATCGGAAAAGAGCTAGAAAAAAGCAAGAAAATGAACTGATTGAAACAGATATGGAAGGAGAATAAAAAAAGTGAAGCAAAAAACAAATAAAAAATGGGAAGAAGGAGGAGGAGGAGGAGGAGGGGGGGAGGAGGAGGAGAAGAATACATACCTGGTTACCACCAGCCCGCCACCACTCGTCGCCCCTGCTCAGGTTACCGCCTGCCCGCCGCCACTCGCCGCCACTCGCCGCCCCTGCTCACGGTTGGCCGGAAATGGAGAAGAAACTCATCGCTTATACCTCTAAATCGGAGAAGATGAGAGGGGAATAAAATTGATTTCTCACAAAGGGACTTAAGGATGATAGATGTAGAGGGTAGATGGGAGAGAAGAAGGGAGAATGTGGAAGAAAAGAAAAATTGATGCGAGAGGAAGATGGGAGAGGAGAGAGGAGATGTGGTGAGAAAAGAAATCTTGTAACGGAGAGAGGCGTACGATTGGAGATGGGCATAATTGGAAGATTAATTAAATTAGTCATATTTAGGGAATAAATTAGGGAGTACTCCTATTTATGAACTTTCTCATTATTTTAGTCCTATTTAGGGCAAATACTTACTGAATAATAAGCTCTTAAATTAGACAATTAATTTAATATCAAAACTCAACCAATCAAAATATCAAAATAGCCCAATTGGAATGCTTTTTATTCAACAGGCTTGTTTTCAGACAACCTAAGTTTCCGGATGAGGCTTGTCTCCGAACGGTCCAAGTTTCCAAACTAGGCTTGTTATCACTCAAACCAGGCTTGTTTCCACATGTAACTGAGTTTTCCTAATGCGGTCTCCGAACTGGATTAGTATGATTCCGAACACGGGTTTCTCCATAGACCGGGTTTCCCAAATGGGTAGGGTTTCTACGTAGACTTGGTTTCCCTGACGGGTATGGTTTCTGGATGAGCTAGAGGCAGGTTTCCAAATCGGGTGAGATTTCTGATAATTTTGGCTAAAAAGGATACTGAAATGTTTAACATATCAAAACAAGCTCAACCATGTATTTTCTAGAGTTTTTAGATCACAAATTAGGACAGAAGACCGAGATTTTTGAACTAGGTTTTTTATGAAATAACGCGTCAAAGAAATGTAGAGCGACAATCATAGATATAAAGAATAGCATAGAGTAGATCAGAGCAATAAATATAATATTGAATACTAGAAAAATGAGCGAAAAGTTGCGGACCGAGATATTGGATACATATAAAGAACCACGACTCTCTCTCTGGACAATAAATGAACTCCTAATTCATTAGTTAGTCTTCAGATATATAATATCTAAAAATTAGGCTTCCATATTACAAAAGACCTATGGACTCAAATACACACTTGACTCCATTTAATAACTAATCTACTTAATACACAAATACAAAGATAATTAATGCAATTGAACACAATAAAATATATTCCTAACAAGCACATTTAGGAATGTTGCTTCAATTTAGTGCCCAAGATATGCCAGTAAATTGAAATTTGATTCCCATGTCTATCCAGAATTTCATGCTTGACTTAAAATATTGTCTACTTTCCGAGAGTGCCCTCTGACTTGCAGATTCTCGGAATTCTTGTGAAGTTCAACTATAAAGACAATATGACTATGACTATGGTGTAGGCAATGTCTCAGGCTGCAACCGATTATGGTATCAATAACAATAGAGATAACAGTGGCAGCCAATGGCTATGACCCCCCAGCCACCCCCAGCCACCACCAAGGTGGCAATATGTGGAGGTTAAATATGCATATAAAATTGTGTTAAAAATTGAGAATAAAGTTGTAATTACAGTTTTTTTTATCCCAGGGTAGGGTTAGATGGGTTGGGGAGCCTAGGGTAAATGAGATTAGAACTGCTTCTATGGAGAATGGACCAATGAGTTGGACCGCTTCTTCGAGGTTGTAATTACAATGATATATTTAATGCTTTAATCAAATAATACCTACAATTCTACAAAGTTTTGATAAATAACCATTAAACTTTGTATAAACATAACTATATTCATAAGAGATATACTTCAACAGTTCAACTACATTAATAGCCTAACCATATGTTTAGAGCAAAGTAACAAGGTAAACATGTCGAATTAATCATTTAGTCTTACGAAGTGTATTATTGACTTTCTCACTAAGTACACTACGTACATATTTCATTACCTTAACTTATTTCAATACTATCTATCAAAGCTATCAAAGAAATCTTATTTTTGTTGTTAAAACTTGATGCTTTCTGACATTAGGTATTTAGGTCAGTTAAGACTTAAGATGTTTGTTCAAAAAACATGAGGGGCATAGCCAAAACTTTTGACAAGGGGAATACCAGCAACAGCCAATAGATCATCAGGTCAAAACATTGTTATACATTGAAATATAGCTAATAAAATTTACTTACGTTTGTAAAGTACTATTTGTTCGGTATAATAAAATACATCTAATGGGTATAATAACAATACTATAATAGCATGTAAAATATACCTCAAGGGTATATCTAAGAACATAAAGCCCTGCATGGTTTCACCACTCCACCCATCCACCTGAACACCTACATCCACTTACTTATCCTCTCAATAAAAACATCCCATAAATAATCTGGTCATATAGAGTTTTATGAGTACATTTACCTAAACCACCAACGTTCTCTATGGTGAGCACATTTGCGTAATAAATGGACAACATTCTCTTATCCAAGAAAATAGTAAAATCCTAACATTTATCATGTCATCGTGCTCTATGATGAGCACATTGACGTGTTCCATACATATTTTAATAATCGTATACATAGTATAAGGGTTGTATTGTATGTTTACGTTATTATATGACATCCTCAAATGCCATAATATGTGTCGCTAGGTACATGAATGGACACAAATAACACAATCCCAAATCAAAACGAACCCAACTATACTACGAATCTGGTAATATTAGGAAACAGAGGTACAGAATCCATGTCAACAATCCTAGTCGAGTTTTTACTTTTATCTTCAAAGGGTGGAAGGAGTTGGGAGATGGTAATGTCAGGGCATGTTAAAAAGAAACACATTTCAAGACAAATACGCCGCACGTAACTCTTGAAGAGAAAGGATTAGCTCAGCAAACAACAGAATATGGAGAGGACTCCACCATCTAACTGAACTGTTGCACCAGGTTGCTATCTACGTTTTCACCTTTGGGAAGGCAGCCAAAAGTTGCTTCTCAAATTCCAACAAACTGAAAGTATTCCAGTATAAAAATTAAATGAATAAATATAAATAAGTCAGCGAACAGCCAAAGCAACAAATAATTACTCCCACATCCCAAAAGTGGTTGCCCTTTTTACCAGGAACAGGATTTAAGTTGTGAAAAGCTGTGTAGAGATTTATTTAAAAGAGAGAAACATTGTCAACTGCATTTTTACCTTGAAAGGAAATAGACTATAACTTTAAGAAAAAGGAAAACAGAAATGGGCAACAAGTTAGGAAGAGAAGCCGTAATAATAATGAAGATGAAGATTGTCATCTCACACACATTTCATATTTCCTGACAGCTTCCTCTTGCTTTGCTTTATAAATTTCAATATCTTTTGGTAGGCTGCTGACATTACTACCTGCACAAAGGTAAGAAATTAGCAAACAAACGAATGAGGAAACAAACACAACTTAGGGCAATTTGAGTACAGCATTTCATATGAACATGAGTGAAAAATTGCATATTGATTGAAGAGAACATACAACAAACGCTCACTCGCTCAGTATCCAAATAACCAAATTGTGTTTACATTCAACAACAACAACATCCAAGCCTTAGTCCCAAAAGATATTGGGGTCGACTAACATGAATCTGATATCACAACCAAAAGGAAAAGAAAGAAAATAAAGATAAAAAGATAAGCTATTATAAAAAGATAATATAAAAAGAGATGAATATACATAAAAATGATAAAATAAAAAGGCTACAAATAATGCTTATATATATATATAAGGATAAAAAACAAGGAAAAAAAGATTAAGGAAAAAGATTATACGAGATCACTCCTTCACATGAATACCCGTCTTCCACTTGGTTCTCTCCAAAGTCATCCCTCATCCAACCCCAGAAGAAGCATATCACTTTGAACTCCCTTAACCCACGTCTGTTTGGGTCTTCCTCTCCCTCTCTTCCCTGCCTCTTCTCCACACATCTCAACTCGTCTGACAGGTGCATCACTCGGTCTTCTACGCACATGACCAAACCACCGTAGGCGCGACTCCCGCATCTTGTATTCAATAGGTGCTACTCCCACCCTGTCTGATTGTCTCATTCCTCACGCGGTCCTTCCTGGTATGCCCACACATCCAACGCAGCATGCGCATCTCTGTCACACTCATCTTTTGAATGTGACATTGTTTCACCGCCCAACACTCTACGCCATACAGTAATGCAGGCCTAATTGCAGTCCTATAAAATTTACCCTTCAGTCTAGTCGACATACCTCGGTCACATAGAAATCCTAACGCACTCTTCCACTTCATCCACCCTGTTCTAATTCTATGGGATACATCTCCATCTAAATCACCGTCCTTCTGAATTATGGAGCCCAAGTAACGGAACATATCGCTGACTGGTATCTCCTTACCATCCAGAGTAATTCCGTTATTACCACTGCATCTACCTCCATCAAACTTGCACTCCATGTACTCTGTCTTGCTCCGACTTAGTTTGAAACTCTTATTCTCCAATATTTGTCGCCATACTTCCAACTTTGTTTTAAGACCTGATTGCGTCTCAGCAATCAATACAACATTGTCGGCAAACATCATGCACCACGGTGTGTTTACATTCACGTGAATAAAATTGATCACCAGAAATCATGGTATTAGAGATCAATCATCAAGTTACTTGTTGAAATATAAACTAAATAATATTGAATAGGGGAGGAAAGATTTTCTGTATATATCATTAGAGGGTTAAAGCCCTATATATATATATTACAAAGATGGAATATTCCTATATAAGATGCTATACAATAATAATGTCTAGAGTATATTCCTAAAGCATATTCTAGAGCATATTCCTAAAGCATATTTTTAGATACAATAATGCTTTCACACTCCCCCTCAAGTTGGAGCATAGATATTTATCATGCCCAACTTCTTACATAAGTAATCAACTCGAATCCCATTTAGAGCTTTAGTGAATAAATCTACAAGTTGTTCTCCAATCTTCACATATCCGGTAGAGATTAATCCTTTTGGTATCTTCTCTCGAATAAAATGACAATCAACCTCAATATGCTTTGTTCTCTCATGAAATATGGGGTTGTTTCTATGTGTATAGCAGCTTGGTTATCACACCACAATTGAGCAGGCATTGGTGTCTTCAATCTGATTTCATTCAATAAATGGTGTATCCATATTATCTCACATGTGGATTGTGGCATAGCTCGATATTCTGATTCAGCACTAGAACGAGAAACCACATTCTGTTTCTTACTCACTCTTCCAAGACACAAGATTACCACCAACAAAGACACAATAGCCAGATGTAGATCTTTGATCATCTTTAGAACCGGCCCAATCAGCATCTGCAAAGCATTCTATTCTCATGTGATCATGGTTTTGATAAACAATACCTCGTCCTGGTGCTCCCTTTAAGTAACATAATATGTGTTCTACAGCAGCCCAATGAGCAATGGTCGAAGATGACATGTATTGACTCACTACACTCGCAGAGTAAGCAATATCTGGACGAGTGACTGCGAGATAATTAAGCTTTCCAACCAATCGTCTATATCTTTCTGGATCTTCAAATGGCATGCCTTCTTGAGTGAGTTGCACATTGGGAACCATGGGAGTATTGATCGGCTTTGATCCCAACTTCCTTGTTTCAGCGAGCAAATCAAATACATATTTTCGTTGAGATAGAAATATGCCTTTCTTACTCCGTGTTACCTCAATACCCAAGAAGTATTTCAATGAGCCTAGATCTTTTGTTTGGAACTGGCTATGAAGATAATTTTTAAGGGCCAAAATACCTGCATTATCACTGCCTGTAATCACAATATCATCAACATACACCACAAGCAATGTGATACCTACTTTCGTTCGTCTGTAAAAGAGAGAGTGATCTGATTTGCCTTTGACCATTCCAAATTGTTCAATTGATCGACTGAACTTCCCAAACCATGCACGAGGACTCTGTTTCAGACCATAAAGAGATTTTCGAAGTCGACAAACTTTACCATACTCCCCCTGAGCAACAAACCCCGGAGGTTGCTCGATGTCTTCCTGAAGGTCATCATGTAGGAAGGCATTTTTAATGTCCAACTGATGTAAGTGCCAATCATGAGTTGCAGCGACTGAAATAAGTAACCTGACAGATGTTAATTTAGCAATAGGAGAAAAAGTGTCAGAATAATCAACACCATAGGTTTGAGCATAACTCTTCGCAACTAATCGGACTTTCAATCGTGCAACAGATCCGTCTGGATTAACCTTAACAGCAAAGACCCACTTACATCCAATAGACTTCTTCCCTGTAGGCAAGTCTACCAAATCCCAAGTACCATTAAGATCCAAAGCATTCATTTCCTCTACCATGGCATGACGCCATTCAGGATGAGACAAAGCTTCTTTAACAGATTTAGGAACAGAAATAGAATCGATGGAAGCAATAAAAGAACATAAGGCAGGAGATAACTGACTATACGACACAAATGAAGAAATAGGATGAGTACAAGACCGTGTACCTTTACGTAGTGCTATTGGGAGGTCAAGATCTAATGTAGAGACAAGATCTGATGATGCAGGTACTGGTTCAGGACATGAGATCGAAGTCGGCTTAGTATCAGGATAAATAATCACAGGTGTCGCCGGTGGAGGGTGATCATGTGCTTTGTGTCGACGGGTGTATACCAAGTGTACAGGAGGCCTAGGGTCAGGAACAGTAACTAGTGGAATATTTGTCAAAAGTGTGGACTCGGGAATAGTCATCGTGTAAATGAGTATATCATCATTATTCTCATGAATATCTGCCTTAGTTGATGAAAAAGGTGTATTTTCATGAAATGATGCATCAATAGAAACAAGATACCGACCTGTACTCGGACAAAAACATCTATACCCCTTTTGGACTCGAGAATAACCCAAGAAAATACATTTTAATGATTTGGGATCTAGCTTTGTAAGATGAGGATTAACATCTCTAACAAAACAAGTGCAACCAAATATTTTAGGTGGGATAGGAAAGCTCTTTATTTGGAAATAGACAATGATAAGGAGCTTTACCATTCAAAATAGAAGATGGCACACGATGTATCAAAAAACATGCAGTAGACACGGCATCGGCCCAAAACTTTTTAGGCACATTCATTTGGAATAGAAGAGCCTTTGCAGTTTCTAACAAGGTCAAATGGAGCATTTGCTCGTTTATTAACTCGAGGGCTTAAGCTAGTACGATGGTGTTTCGCAAATTGACATGACTCACATTGTAAAGAGGTCATCTTATTGAATTGGGGATTTATTTGCTTCATTAATGGGAGAGATGGATGTCCTAATCGGTAATGAGCCTCTAACAAAGTCCCGACCCCAAGACAAGAGATGCCTTTTGTGATTGATGTATCCAAAATATAAAGACCAGCTGACTCATGTCTTTTACCAATAGTCTGCTTCGTTAACAGATCTTGAAACACACAATATCCAGGAAAAAATGTTACAGAACAATTAAGAGTACGCGTGATTTTGGTGATGGAAAGCAGATTAAATGCAAAATTAGGAAGACTCAAAACAGGTGATAATGGTAGTGTAGAAATTGGGACAACAGTACCAGATCCAAGAACAGGTGAGGTAGATCCATCAGCTAAAGTGACACTAGAAGTAGGTAAATATGAATGAAATGATGAGAATAGGATTACCAGTCATATGATCTGTAGCACCCGAGTCAATGACCCATTTCGAGGATGAGGAAACAAGACATGTGTTTGAAATACCTGAATTAGCAACTACCGGGATAGGGATAGAGGAATGCTTTAGAGATTCTTGGTAGCTAATAAATTTGGCATACTCGTGTGAAGAAATAGCACGTGATTCATCGGAGGAATTGGTAGCGGAAGCAACATGAGCAAGCTGATTTCCTTGATTTTTGAATAGCAATTTTCTACATTCTTTTATCAAGTGTCCGGGCTTCTTGCAATATTTGCATATAACTCCCTTGTCAAATCCACTTATACAAGACATATACTCCCTCCGTCCCGTTGGAATGTTCCCGTTCGGTTTACGATGCTTGACTGACGATAAAACAACTCGATCCCTGTTCACACTCCGCTTATTTTTAGCTTAGTTTTAAAAGGCGTGAGGCGGCATGAGGCGATTCATCGATTTACTCGAGGCGCAAGGCGACGAGGCACGCGCCTCACTGATCGAAACCATATATCTTTGGTAAAATATATTTTTATTTACTAAAAATTTTTTAGTAAATAAAATTTACATATTCAGAAACTACATTAAAACCGCTACAAAGCCTGATCAAGAAAAGTTCAATTTGATAAAAATTTGATATATAAAGTAAAAGATTAGGAGTGACCTAAGTTGACCAATGAATAGTGAACAGGAACATTCCAACGGGACGGAAGGGGTATTTTTTTGTCAATTTTTTTTGCTTTTCTTTACTTTTTCTTTTTTTTTACGAAACAGTAATCAAATAAAAGAATCTGAGATTTTCTGAAAGCTTACAGCAGCTTCCCCATTTTTGGACTTAAAATTTGGAGAATAAAATATACAGCTTGGGCCTTGACTGCTACGGACTCCTGACTTAATTCCAGATGCCTAGAGATCTGTTGGTCTGATGCCAGACCCTAGCATGTGCGAACAAAGGAGCCTGCGGATGTTCACAAATATCTTATGCGAGACCCAGTAGAGCAGATGCGAACCAGAAGGAGCGGACGTCCACAGATATCCCTCCAGATATGTCCGATGTCAAACCCTATCTACCAACCAGAAGGAGCGGACGTCCCTTGCTGATGAAAGAACAAAAGAGGTAAAGTATACCTAGTAGAGGATTTCCAGACGAGTCTCAGGCGAATAGTTCCGATCAAATCTCCGGCCAGAAACACGGCATCACGCGCTGGAGCGTGCGGCGTCTGCGAGAACTTTTGGCGGCGTCTGTATTGAACGCGCGGCGATTTTGTTGTGCGGATTTCAAGTGTTTGGTCAGCGGCGGAATGCGTGCCTGCTTAGGTTGGAGGTGGTACTGTGAATTTTGGACGAAGGTTCTGAGTTTGGGACTAAGGTTCTGATTTTTTTTTCTGGACTGAACTAAGGTTCTGAATAATCTTAAGACTGAACTCAGTTGTTGAAGAAAGAATCTAGTCTGAAAATTAAACTGGAATCTGAAAAGAAAAACTAAACTGAAATAGAATGCTCTGATACCATGTTGAAATATAAACTAAATAATATTGAAGAGGGGAGGAAAGATTTTCTGTATATATCATTAGAGGGTTAAAGCCCTATATATATATATATTACAACAACAACAACATCCAAGCCTTAGTCCCAAAAGATATTGGGGTCGGCTAACATGAATCGATACATGATATCACAACCAAAAGGGAAAGAAGGAATAAAGATAAAAAGATAAGCTATTATGAAAAGATAATATAAAAAAGATGAATATATATAAAAATGATAAAATAAAAAGGCTGCAAATAATGCATATATATATAAGGATAAAAAAAAACTAGGAAAAAAAAAGATGAGGGAAAAAGAATGTGAAAGCATATTCTAGAGCATATTCCTATATAAGATGCTATACAATAATAACGACTAGAGTATATTCCTAAAGCATATTCTAGAGCATATTCCTAAAGCATATTCTTAGATACAATAATGCTTTCACATTACTCGTGATTGTTGATCAGTTGATGATAAAAAAACACTAGTTTCGACCATAAGCACAAGAGGATGCCACAACACGCTGTGTTATCACATTATGACATTATCTATGGTTCCCAGGTAATGAAATGTGAGGGATGCAGCATGAAAAGGGATAATAGATCCTCAGCCAACATATAACAATAGATGACGTTCTCAGCATTGACGATCCAAAAGCCACATCCCAGACCAATCTTAGAAGTTGAATGATGTTTGAAGCAGGCCCGACCTGGCTGACCAGCCGCAGAAGGGCCTTACGCAACTAAATGATGAGGACCATCGACCATGCTGGCAGCTGGGAAGTTCCATTCAATCCATCACCGTGAAGCTTTCTTTGACTAAGGACTCTAGTGAAAGTCAAGACTCCACCAGGAAGACTACGGGTGCACTAGGAGCAGATGATCAAATGGATACACAGGAAATGAAAGGCGTACACATTTATGGACTAAAGTTCCAAGCGATGGGGCCTACTAAGACCAATAATCCATGCTAGAGTATGAATCTCCGATTTGGGTTGAGTTTTGCACGAAGGACATGTGATGGAAGGGATACATCAAATGGTGGTGATACATCAAATGGTGGTGCCAATTCAATTAAAGATTGTGTAACTTGTGTTGCATCCTGATTAATTTTTCTTAAGCAGAATGTCGTCACGTAGTGGAATGTGATCTTTTGGGACTAAGGCTCGGATGTTGTTTGTTGTTGTTGTTGTAAGCAGAATGTCGTCACGTAGTGGTTTTTACCTCCTAAGTCCTGACCAGATGCAAAAAGACCAGATGAGACGAGGGTATCCCCACCCTAATTTCAATTGTCAAGTCTACAGATTCTCCATGCTCCAAGATGAAATCCGGTGATAAAAAAAATTAGCTTGACCCGAGTCAACAATTGTATACAAAAGACTAGTTTTTTCAGAAACTAGTTTATTGAAGGTGTACATGCAGAAACTTGTTCAATCTGCCTATTCAAAGTACAACTTCATATACTTACCCAAAATATCAAAAAAATGCTAAAATTAAGACTACATATCCATTTTTTGTATTGTTATAGTAGGTTCGACAAGCAAGTAGGAAGTTGCTAAAAAACAATAGTTATAACGTAAAACCAATTACCAGCACATTGAATCATAGAAAGCTGTTTCTCTTCCTTACTTTCATGCATCTGTGTTGAGCATGAACTGCTAGATAGTGTCAATACCTGTAAAGGAAATCGAAGTATAATATGAAGTACAATGCGGTGTTTAAGTATAGCAGCCATGTAGACTTGCAGCTTTGTGAAATACTACAGCAGATACAGACATTGCAACTGTTGAATGACTGTATAAGCATTAATTGTAGCTCATAGCTTGGCAATCATGATAGACCCTTTTGTTACATGAAAGTAATGTAAACATTTCAACACTACTAAATCCCATTGCATAATCAGCTATAAAATCACAAGTGAATTGCAGCCTTGCAGGCTATAAAAACCATTTACCTAAAAGTTTTATATCAAGTACTCTCACTGGAATATGAGTGAAGAGAAATAAATTCAGTGGCATGAATCTTGATTGCCTGCAACGTGAGGCACTCTTGAGGGCAGACAAGAAATATACACAGCAATAAGTAGGAATTTTCAGCTAACAGACACTTAGACCAGACACCCATCAGTCAGGCAATGTTGTGTGTGCTATGCAAGAGTGAAGAGACTGAGGTAAAATGAGATAAAATGAATCGATAAATGATAACAGTGACAAAATAACTAAAATCGCTTAGTATTATTATAAATATAAGACATGAAAAGCGAATCATACTTAATGCTTTCATTTTACATGTTTTAATTATACGGGTATGATACTTCATATCATCCCAGGCCACAAAGATTCCAATATGTGAGTGAATAAAAGTTATTACTCACGCACAAAAAACTATGATAAAATTCACTCTGGAATAGAAATGAGAGTATAAGAAAAGGTACAATCTCACATAACAATCACACTATGGCAATAAAGCTCAATATTAGGTACTCCATCCGTTCCCAAATGAAAGTACCAGCTTGACTGCTTGACTTTTCAATTCAAACTTCATTATTGACTATTAACTCTTCATAAATTATACTATGTATCACTTATAATGTGAAAATATTCTTTGATCATTTGATTTCAATATGTTGAAACATCAGATTATGATGGAATAAAGCAAAATGGCTCACTAAACTGTCTGCGCTTCTTTGTTATGAAGCAGCAGTCAGTCCATGCAATTTTGGACGGGATTTTCACTGTGGGTCATCCGGAAACAGTCTCTCTGTGCTTTAGTATAGGGGCTAAAGTAGACAATTTATACACAATTCACAATCAACAATTAGAACATGTAAACTCTTTATGTTCAGTAATTTAATTTGTCTCTTATCTGTCCACTTTTTGAAAGATTAAGTTATACTTATTATAATGTTAATTAATACATATTTGTATAAAGTAATGGTCAAATATGGATATTGAAGACCGCACAAGTCAAACTGAGACTGGGTGTAGTTTATTTTCCTTATGCCTCTAAAATTTCCATGCCGGAGTTTGAGGAAGAATTTCCCTTGGGCGGCAAATTGGGACCATAATTTAGAGTGGCGAGTGGGATTACTAAAATCCTAAATAAGAGGGGCTGTTTAAGTGTTACAGAACCAAGAACCAGGCTCTAAGTGAAATCATCCTATCAAAAAAAATCAACACTAAGTGCAACTAAGATTAATCCACAAAATCGTCATGAAAATGGAAAATTGGACACTAGGTGGTCAATATCTAACTGTAAAAAATCAGTTTTCCAGAAACAGGATAACAGAAAACAATAATATAGAACAGATTCCCAGCTTTCCGAAAAAAATTAAAAACACTTGACATTTATGCTGAGTGTTTTTAAAAGTTTAAACCAAACACCTATGACAGCTAAGGTCTTCTTTCTCCTTCCATTCGTAAGCATTAGTCCTAATCAGGTATGGGTCTTTCAGGTCAAGCTTGGGCAGTCCCGCCTTCAAAACCATGGTGACTCCTTTTCCTGCAAGCTGGAGCACAACATGCGATTTCAAGCTGGTAAGTGTGACTCCTGGGAAACCTTTACTTTAAGTCAGAAAGAAAAGAAGCCTGTCAAGAAAGGAGGAGGAAGCCAATAGGTCCGGCAAGAAAGTGAAGCAATCAAGTTTTTAGAAACTCCGATTCTAGTTGCATAGCCTCGAACCCAGATGCCATATCTTCCCCAATTCACTCATGTTCAGATTCATTAACCATTCCTTTCTCTTTTAGCATGTATGATGTATGATTTCGTGATCGCTCACTTCCTTTCGTTTTCAACTTTTCATGTGGAAGGCCCTGGGTTCTACAAAGATTTAGTAAGAAAGTATTGGCCCTATTGGGTACTCTTATTTTTTAAGAAAACTGAAAACTAAATAGCTGTTTCAAAGGATTCAATAAAGCCAACTATTCTAGCTGATCTGCGATCTACCCTAGATATTCAAAGTTTATCACATGCCGTCTTGAGAAGGATGTATTCACTCGCCTGGCTTGCTGGAAGCCTTTCAACTCTTCACACCAGAATTGATTGTGTATAATTCCTCCCCTCTCAAAAAAGCAACTGAGAATCCCAAAAACCTAAGGCTCTACTCAATCCTCCTTTTCAGCCACCCGCTTTTTTCACCTTGAATTGGTCAAGCAAAATAAAATTATGAATGGAAGAGGCTACCATTTCCATTATGAGATATGATTATTTGACAACTACCACTATTCTCAGTCACCAGCTAAGCCCCAACACTGTTGCTCACCAGTGCTCATTGTCAACAACCCCCACCACTGTAGATAACCACTTCCACTGACAGCAACTATCACAACATCCTGGAACGAGTATCACTCTCACCAACAACTAATGCCACAATCAACCACTGCCACCACATCAGGTACCACCACCAATGCTAGGAGAGTGAGGCCTCTCAAAGTGTCTCAAATCCATCTTCTCTTTCTTTCTGTTTATGTTGGTTTACTGCTCATGCCATTGTAGTTGCTTAAGGACGTTCTGAGCTTTCTCTGAATTCCTACTTAATAATATATCTAAAGTTCTGTTGCTTAAGGACAAGTTGGTTGTCAAAGGGGGAGTGATGATAGAAACCCAGGCAGATCAATAATAATAAGATGATAGGGACCCGGATAGAATAGTGTTATAATAAGATTAAGAGTAGTATAAATAAAAGCTAAGTAAGGAATAAGTAGGTAGGCAGAATTTGAGTTGGGATTGGGCTTGGGAGAGGAGACTGCTCGAAGTGTCTTAACTGTATCCCTCACTTTTCAGTTTTAAACAATTGCAGCTTAATACACAGCAAATTTACCATCAATTTCTGGAATCTCTATCATAAAATCAGTGGAACACTAATGTGACTTTTTGTCCACAATGCTACTCCAATTCACAGAATATGTATGGTGCACTCGATGTAATTCTCTGGATCAAACCTTATCCAAAAATTTCTGGAGCATCAGTGGTGAAAAACTGGTGAACCATCGTGTCAGAGATGTCACATTCTGGTTTGTATCATGACCTATCTACATTCTAGGCAACTTATTTATCAAATGCTTAAAGATTAAAGACCTCAAAATTCAGAATTATGATTTCAATAGATCCTATGAGAAAGGAAGATATAGTCAGATAACCAAACCAGTTGACTGCCAACTACACATGCATATTGAGCTCTTGGGCTCCACCCTTTGGGGAGGGAAGGATTATAGCAATGCCAAGCAACATCAGACTTGAAAGCATATTTTAAACCTTAAAATTACCTTTTTCCCCTTTCTCTTTAATAATTTTACATGACACTTTTTTATGTAATGCATCAAATGGTAGCGTGAATGCCTTGAGGATAACTGTTCTCTGATTTCTGCATTCTCAGTAAGCCAGTGTAAAATGTCTTTTGATTTTACCACCTCATCTGTATCAAGTGACTCTAACCAAGAATAAACAGGCATCCACTGATCAGTGCGTTGAAATCGGTGATCAAATGCACTTTCATTTTCCTGTAATAAAATATGACATTGCTTAACCCTTATCCATGGACGAGATCATGACGAAGAAGTATGAATCTGGATCACGACAGGGAGCTTGATACTTGATAACATTAATTTTTATTAGTTTTTCATATTTGATTTAATCATCAGTGCACTTTTTTAGCATAGCTTTTATTATTATAACTTTTACATCAAATTCTAAAATTTATAGCATTCTAAGTCATTCAAATGTTAGTTTGTTTAAATAGCATGAATGTGTTTAGATTGTAACAATGATGGTTTATCTTATTATTTGTAAAATTTTAATTTATGTTATTATTACCTTTTATTGTGTTGAAAAGAAGAAATCATAGTAGTGTATCAACTAGAATGAGAATTTTATAAGAGATATTCTATGGTTTCCCAAACGTCAAATTCAGATTTCAAGGATTGAAATATTTTTTATTCTCAAAAGAGAGTTGGATTTCAACTCTGTTATTTCAATGTTCAGAATTAATTTTAAGAATTGAATTCAATTTCTTTAATCCAAACACTACCTGACATGTTTTAGTAATACATGTCTTTTTGCACGAAATACTACAAAGAGATAAATGAGCACACTAGATAAATATTATGAAACATAATCAATACATGATTCGACATTTGAAGTTCATCCACCATATAATCAGAGTTGACAGTTCACCATGTAACCATGGGTTTATAGTAGTTTAGAGATCAATGTTAAGAGACTAAAGTCACATACAGTTACAGATGATACTGTCTTTGGATCCATTCTCATATTACATGGCTCGGCACAATAAGACCTTTCTCAGCATCATTCACCTGCACATACCTCAGTGTGAAGAAGCAAATTTTAAGTATGTCAAAAACATTACTATTATTACTACAATGGTCGTAATGAATAGTATTAAGATTACAGAGCTACAGCTACCATAAAACTAAACAGGGTCAGTGTCGAGAATATGGGGACCCTGTGCAACAAAAAAATGGGCCTTTTTATCCAAGTTTCAACAAAAGTAATTTGTGTTAAAATACAAGTTACTAACGAATATAATAATACAAATAAAAGCAGTGATTAATAAAATACCTTTCATTTAAAAAAGGACATTTTTTACAGATTTAGATATAAAGTCATTTACCAAACTTGCAATGTCAGTACTCAGTCTATTGGAGTGTTTCGAATGTATATTGATATCAACGCCAATCCATGACTGGATGGGATTTCTTTGGAAACATAATTACGGAGTACTACTAAATACCAATTATCGAAATTTTCACCTAATCTTATACATGTTTAAAAATTTAAGTTAAAATTCAATTTAAATATTGAGTGAAATCATGAAATAATTATAATTTATAAACCTAAAATTAGTACTTAGTAGTTACGGAGTTACATAATAGCATAATTATATCAATTTCTTAAATCATAATTGTTCAACACAATTATCAATTGATTCAATTCAATTACTTAAGCAATATCCGCAATAAATGAACTAATAAACGAATAACAAGGGCCAAAAGCAATTCGTACGAAACAAACGAAATTAATTTCAGTTATTTGCCATTCGAGGAAATCAGAAAATCATACATTAACATTCATATGTGCTTAGCTGCGTAGTGCGTACCGGTTACTGCGGTGTGCGGGTGTGCGGCCTAGTGACTAGCCGACTAGCGGGGTAGGGCGTCGTGCGAATGGTGCAATTGTGGTCTCGGACTCTGGGAGGCTGACCGCAGGAGGCCGGGCGCGTGGTGGTGGGCTGGCGCGGTGGCGGTCGTCGACTCGTCTGCACTCGTTCCACTCTTCCGGTCGTTCCAGATTCGAGAGGCGCTCTCTCTGTCTTCCGTCAGTTTCCTCCTTTCTCAAGTTTTGTTCCCTTCTGTATAATTTAATCTTGACACCTGGGCTGCCGGATGAGGAAGAAGGTTTGTGGCATTTTGTTAATTAATTTAAATAAAATCCGCTTCTTTCCGTAAACGAGTATTAATACATTAGAAATATTAGGGAGTATAAGAAGCCAAATAACGAGTATATGATCTCTGCTTCAAATCTTTCAAGTCACTTTTTTTTCGTTTTTTTTCTTTTACAAAAACTTATTAAATTATATTTATAATGAACTCAAATGAATTTCAGTATGCAAATCTAATGTTATACTGAACTCAAATGAAATATACATCGATATGACATTTTAAAAATGAACATAACGTGTATTACAAGACAGACCGTACATTATTTTTGGGAAACTCCTTATGCTTAAAGAACTCTCGAAAGACTTCTCTTTTGAAGATGAAAAGTTTCTTAAAGTGCCCATTTGGATCAAGTTCCCTAAACTACCAATGTGCTTATGGAATGATGAAGCCATGAGTGAGATGTCATCTATGGTTGGGGTCCCAATAACCACGGACAAGATCACGCAAGAGAGAACAAATATGATTATGCTAGAGTGCTAATTGAAGTTGATATTTCTCCACCACTCTCTTTTCCTATACGTCTACCGTCCCGTAAGATATTAAAGCAAAGTGTGGTTTATGAAACTTTTCCTAACTTTTGCTTTCATTGCAAGGAAATTGGGCACCACTCATTTAATTGTAAAAAGCTAGCCAAAAAGATGATGGGGAAAGAGAGAAAGAACGGATCATGGAGGAATGTTTGAAATTGGGGAATGACGAGACTTTAGACCCTAGCCTGACCGGGTCTAAAGTCCTGGCAGGCAGTGGCGGACCCACTAAAGGTCCCACGGGGTCCCGAGACCCCATGTACCTCCAAAAAAATACCTATATATATTTGTATATATTTTATATAAAATTAAGGAATAAGTATTTATACAATCAAAACTGGCAAAGGACACAAATACGGAGTTAGAGCAATGGTAGGAGGCCTGATTCAAAGGCTTTGTATGTGCAGAGGTCGAATGATCGATTCCCCTAGGCGTCCACTTTTCTGAAAATAAAATTATGGCCACTTTTTCATATCTTATAACATATAATTTAAAGTAAAAATTGAAAATAATAATCCCAACTATTACTAGTCCGCTAACAATAATCTCAACTATTGATCATTTTTGTATAATCCCAATTATATAGATCGTCCGCCAATAATGGTCCAGGACCGCATATTACATGCTCTAACAAGTGAATTTTTAATAGAAATTAAGCGTAAAAATTAAAATTTGGGATTATTTATAGAGATTACCTGCTATATCTCTTTAGAAACTATAGGAATTTATTTATAGTCCGTCACATCGAACCATTATTGGCGGAAGGTCCCTAAAGTTGGGATTATTCTGAAATAATCGATAGTTGGGATTATTATGAGCGGACCGTCAATAGTTGGGATTATTACAATCAATTTTTCCTTATTTAAATATCATTCTTTCCCAATATAGCAGATTCAGTCGTTTGAGCCATAATCGCATAATTTGGCTTGATGTGGTTTGATCTAAGACTAAAATCGGTCCAATAACAAATTAAAGTCCTTAAAGTTAAACAAATAAATTGGTAATTGTATTAAATTAAAATAGAAACAAAGCTAATGAATATATTTTAATTAAAAAACCAAATATAATATTGCGAAGTAATTGGATCAAAATTTTCAAATGTAGAAGACATTATTTTTAGAAGACATCAACTTTATAAAATTTCAGTGCCCGTTTAGTGACTATGTTTTTCGGTTTATCAACCAACTTTTTAACCAAACGTGTAACTTTTGATTTTGTGCGCTGAATTATGTAATAATAAGAAAATTAAGGTTGAATTTACTTTTCAGACTGTATTGACTGAAGTTGTTGTAGTTGACCATTTTATCTATTTTTTCATATCATTTCTTCTTTATTTTATTAATATAATATATTTTAAATATAATTTTTCATAATCAGCAAAAACAGCCAATACAGTCACTTCGGTCAGAACTTCATAAATTTCAGTAGAATCAGCCGATTCAGTCGATTTCAGTGTTACCAAACGAACTCTAGTTGATAGTAGACATTTCTTTAAAATGTTGGAATATCTTTAAAATTAGTGTATACGCTAACTATGAAACAATATGCTATTTTAATATTTTACATCTTCTTTTTATTAATTAGAGTTACTTTACAGTAGGGACCCCGTGATTCTGAGTTTCTGGGTCCGCCACTGCTGGCAGCTGCTGCCATTGCCTAGGACACTCTGCCTACGACTAAGAACTCTGCCTAGGGTTCTGCCACGAGTTTGCCAACCGCCCAGGGGCCTGCCAAGTTTTCTGCCGTGGCTGCCAAGGGTTCTGCCGTGGCTGCTAAGTGTTCTGCCATGCCCCCGCCTGCTGCCCAGCTACCTGAAGTCCATGACAAAATGTCCGACGCCATGATACAAGATGTTGAGAGGGTTGTTTTGCAAGAAAATGAGGTGAGGCAAAATGATGTGGTCATCAAATTTGAGGTAATAAACGGTAAAACGCTCAAGTTGGTTGTGAAGCCGTTTAGATTCGTGCACGCTAGTGTGATTAGAGTGAATACTTCGCTCCGACTTACGGATGATTTGGACAAAAAAGGTCTTACTTTCACAGACAAATGTCTTGAAGGCTTGCCAGGAGTTACTAAGAAGAAAGGAGAGGTTTGCTTTGATTCAAAGTTCACTATCGCTTTCCGATTTTTCTTCGGATGTTAAATTAGGACCACCTAATTTTTGTTGATATAGCTCGCTATAGCTTATTACTATTGTTGGGATATTGACCTAGAGGCCCAATACCCAGATCGGGAAGGCCCAAGATATCCGGCCCAAGTAACAGGCCCATCACGCTATGATGAGAAGATCCAGTAAGGAGACATACCGAACGGGGTTCGGCCCCAATAAAGGTTGGCCCAATAAGAAGACATACCGAACGAGGTTCGGACTATATACTATACTTGGGCCAATTTGACAGCATCTTCAGTATGGACCAACATCCCGTTCGAGCAACGGCCAACCAGCAAGTGGCCAGGTGCAGTTAACGCCAGACTGTGACATCAGCAAGTGGAAGCATGGATAACCAAGTCGGTGGAACAACGGCCAATCAGCAAGAGGCAGCCCATGCTCTCCATTAGTATAAATAGAAGGTTTCAAGTCATTGTAAGGGTTAGCATTTCAATACTCAAGCTCTAGAATAGCATCATTTGCTCTTATTTCTTGGATTAAAGCATAGTTTCCGACTTACCGATCGGGAAATCCCTTGTAATCAGATTGGTTAATTAATACAAGTGAGCTTTCGAGTTTTAGTTAGTTCAGATCTTATATTTTCTTTTACGCTTTGATTCTGGGCCATTCCTGATATATCCAAAGTTCGTGTTGGGCTTTCGGATCTACGGGACTTACCCTCAACATTGGCACCGTCTGTGGGAAACTTGCAAAAAGTTTCACTTTCTAAACATCCAAAAAACCTCTATTTTTAAAAATGGTCAGAATCAATTCCTATCATACAAACGACGGTTCACACCGTCACGGGAGGAGTCACACCCCGGGGAGTCAAAACCCCCAGGGACAATCCAGTCGAGGATCCTATCCTCGCGTTAATGGGGATTTTGTGATCCCAGAATCTCTGAGGAGAAATCCCCAGGCCATGCGTGACATGGCCCAATTCATGCAGCACATGGCAAACGAAGAAGAAGGAGGTTCCAGCTTTACAGGAGAAACTCCACGCGCGGAAACGACCACAGCGTCATCCCGCTCACATACCCATCGGGAGAATCGACGTAGCGCCCCACCAGCAGCGCATCCCAGTCCCAGTGACCGAACCCCGGTCGGGTCGCAAGCTAGAGGACCAACTCCCGTCGGTCATCATTTCCAACATGCCGAGCGGGGAGATACTAGGGCCCCTCAGCGGCATTGGGACCGGGACTGTGCGGATATGAGGGTTCCACCACCGCCCCCTCTGACGGCCCAGGAGGAAGAGATGGCCGAGATGAGGAGGCAAATGAATGAAATGCGGGACCAGATGAACAGGGTACCTGCACAACCTGCACCAGTCCAACTGGGGATTACTTCCCCGTTTACAAGGGAGCTCATGTACGCGGATATCCAAGGGGGTGCCAAGCCCCCGACCGGCCAAATATATGATGGGGTGGGAGATCCCCACGTACATCTGAGGAGTTACCAAGGCGGACTTATGCTGCTAGGAGCACCCGAGGCTGCCATTTGCCGTTTGTTTTTCAGCACGCTCAGGGGGCCTGCCCAGGAATGGTTCGGGACACTACAGCCTGGGTCAATCAATAGCTTTACCGAGTTATCAACGTTATTCTTGGCTCAATTTGCTTCCAGTGCCAATCCCAAACGGCACTTCAGCTATCTGACCAGCGTGAAGCAAAACGCCAAGGAGACCCTCAACCAATTACTGAAAAGGTGGAGGGATGAAACTTTAACAGTGGGAAGCATGACGGATGATACCGCCATCACCCTGTTCACGAATGCTCTCCGAACGGGGGAGTTGTACAAAGAATTGAAGAAGAATCCGGGCACGGCGTACGCCGAAGTATTAGATAGGGCGCGCAAGCATGCCGCCCTAGAAGAAGAAATAATGATCAGGGATAAGGTCATTACGCCTGCTGCCCCGATCAGACTGGCTGATCGGCTGGGTCCTAGCCCAGCGGCCACTTTACCTCCCAAACAAGGGAGATTTACACCCCTGGTCCTATCAATAGCGGCCATCTATTAGAACGAGAGGGATAATATTCCCATCCCGACTGATTCTGGACAGTTCATGGGAACGGATGACAATGCTTTCTGTAAATATCACAACAGAAAGGGTCATGCCACCAATGCCTGCAGGGCCCTGCAAACGGCAATTGAGGATCTGATCCGAAGGGGCCATCTAGGCAAATATGTGAACAAAGACCGGCCAGGAAACCTAATAGCTGGCGCCGGGATACTCAACGTGACGCCCAGCCTCAGAATGATGTGTATGTTCCTCCCAGAGATGAGCCAGAGGGCTCGGGAGGCCCCGGAAAGAAGCCTCGAATGGAGGTCAAGGTCATATTTGGGGG